TTTCTTTCATCTCATACTAGTACAAAAATATGAGATGAACTTCATTTTCAACAGATCCAACTCCGAAGACTAATATGTCCATTTGACGGTGATGACATTTTTTTCTCCAGATGACTGTGATGTAAAGTAAACAATATTGTATGTAATATATTTCCACTCAAGCAAGCACTATACTTGTTTACTTCCACTTAAGTTTATTTATAAATCTCCAAAACAAAACTACAATCCCCAAAATTAACAATAAAAGAGGACTAAAACTTCCCATAGATAAACAAAGTTCAACAATTTAAACATGATCACCCACATGATTCTAAAAGAGTCTAAAATAATCCCAACATGTTCAATAACGAATATCAATATCAATATCCTTCTTGGGCTCAATTACCTTTCATGACTTGCTTGATTGATGAGAAAATGTACGAAAAATTACCAAACCCAACATTTCAAAATATGGATCATAAAAACTTGACCCTTTACTCATCTAAGCCCAAAATGAAAAAAAAAAAACAAAACAAAATATCCTCAATAATTCTAAGATAAATAGATCTAAACTGAGGGCAAAGAAATGAAATTGTATTAAATTGAGTATTCTACGAACCTTTTGAGCTAGCCAACCGAGCATGAAATCCACTTCAAAGGGAGAAATAGAGTTTTTAGAGAGAGAAATAGTGATATAGCCAATGAGACAGAGCGAGAGACAGGAGTGACTTTAAGTAGACCAAACCAATGACTGTGTTGGTCCCTTCACCTTTTGCTTCGGGCGCAAGTTTAGACTTGAGAGAGAGAGGCAGAGAGAGAACAACGATGTGTTTGTTTTCACGCGGGAAGACTTTGGCTTATGTTTAGGGCAAAATTCAATTTATCCCACGGTGGTTCGGTCATTTTTCACATCACCTCCTTGTGGTTCAAAAGTTAGCACATAGCTCCCTTGTATTTTTGGACTAAAGTACTATCATTACTATGTTCATCAAAATTGACTAAAGTTATTACACACGCGCTAGATTTACATGTATGGATGTAAAAAATTTAAGTCCACGTCAAAGTTCGACCTAAAAGTCCAAATATACTCTTGTGATTTTTCAAAAAGACATTTTCTATCTTCCTCTTCCTATGTATTTTACTATTAGAAAAAAAAATGGATAAAAGAAAAAACAAAATCCCATCTCTCTACCCCCTACCCGCCGGAAAAAAAATAGCCCCTCGAGTCCCTGCATCACCACTTGACAATCCTCCCACCATTTTCCCCTCACCTAAGACTAAAACTCCCATCATTTGACCACCCAACCCCTCGGCCCTTCCAACAACGAAGTGGATCGCAATGAAAATTTGCACTTCCAACACATCTCCTATGAATTTTTTGCCTCTTTTTTTTTCTACTAATTTTTTAAAAATTTACACTTCACTATATTTTTGAAAATTTGCCTTCTGGATTCCATGTTGGATTGTTGGATTAATTTCGATTTCTAGTGAAAAAAAACACTTTTTCCATATGAAACTAAGGTATATATGATACTTTGTACCTCAAAATGTTTTTATATTTTTAATTTAAAATCTAAAAAATTGAAATTTGATAGTTTGTACCATAAAAGATTATCAAATTTTTAATTTATAATCTAAAAAAATAAAATTTACACTTTACACCCTCAATCAAATAAAAAAGTAGCAATTAATAATGTAGTTCAAAAAAATATTCATTTTCTTTTCCGTTACATATTTTGTGTTGTATTTGTTATATTATCTTATTTTATATACAATTGTTTGCATAATACTCACCACATAAAATATACATTGCAATAGTAATACCACATTAAAATTGACTTCTGGTTTTTTCATTATAAGTGCGAAGTAAATCTATCAATCCAGGTAGAGAAGGCACAAGAAAGAAAAAGAGGGTTTGAGACTATAGAATAAGTAAGTTACTCAAGAGATAATACAACTTAGAGACTTATTTTTGTGGTTCTTACAAATGAGAACAATCCCCTATTTACGGGCATTTAGGATCTTCTACCGAAATATATTAGAGATAATGGGATGTGGGTATCTTTTTCAAAACTTATTTGGCTTTAAGTACTATCTTCAAACTTATATTTCTTTAAGTCCTCTTTTTCATCAAATAGTTGTCAATAAGTACACATTTTTAAACATTTTTAAATTTTTTCTAAAATGTATTCCATAATTACCCCTATCATAAATAATGCATAACTACTTAAATGTGAAACTATCAAAATTAGAATGTGAAACTTTCAAGATTTTTTTTGATATTTGTGTATCATTTGAATTTTGAAATTATATATATATACACACGTATATGTTTATACACACACATATGTATATATATATATATATATACACACACACACACACACATACACACGTATGTATTTACCCATACACATACACACACACGTAATACAGTGACACGTTCAACAAAAAAATAGTAACATCAAACAGTGACACACTTAACAAAAAAAGAATAGCATCAAACAGTGACACACTCTACAAAAATATTTGTGTTACTATTTGATGTTACTATTTTTTTGTTGAGTGTATTACTGTTTGACGTAATTCTTTTTTTTGTTGAGCATGTCACTATTTAATGTTACTATTTTTTTGTTAAGCGTGTCACTGTATTACACATGTGTGTGTGTGTGTGTGTATATATATATATATATATATATATATATATAAAATTTCAAAATTCAAATAATACACAAATATCAAATAGAATCTTGAAAGTCTCACATTTAATTAGGTAAGCCCTATTTATGATAGGGGTAAAAGGGCTTTTTTGACTTTTTATTAGCATATGTACTTCTATCCCAATTATTTTAAAAAATATATTTTTATCCTATTAAGTATTTTGAGAGGTACCGATCACCTTAAGCCCCAATATATAACTATTTGTTACATTCAAGAACGTCTCTCTTAGATTTCTTATATATATATATATTATAAAATGTTACTTGAAAAAAGTTTATATAAAGAACCACATTCTAGGGTTATCTAGAACATTCTGTCGATGTCTTGTATTGTCTCATGACTAAAAAAAGTAACGGACAAATTACACTTACATGCATATGAATATTAATAATTACAAGGTCTGACCTTGTAGTTTCTCCAATTAAATCATATTCCTCTAAGTTCATTTTATATTTCTTGGATACCCCTTTATTAGCCAACGGCAAAATCCACCATTATCTTCATTTTTATCCTTAAAATTTTCATTTTTGCCATTATTATACACAAAAAATAACTATTCTTTCCCATAAAAAAAGAAAAAAAAACAATTAAACTAACAGTTGACTTATCACCCCACCTTCCATTGCCACATCCCCCAACCATGACCCATCTCTTCCCATTGCAACCCTCTCCAAGGCCATCTAATTTACGAAAGACTTAAGATATCCATATACCTCTCCAAATCTGCTTGTATCACCTACTTTCATTACATACTCAACTTGAAAACACTAAGCTCTACAATGGTGGTCTAAAATTACCGCAACAATCCGATCACCCAAGGTCAAGAAGTTGATACTTCCATTATTTCGTCAAAAAATTTAATAGTTTATCTATGTAAGAACCAAAATGACATAAATTAAATATTTTAGGAATCAAGTTGATAAAATTGATACTTTAATATACCAAACTGATAAAAATTATAAACTTTAAGGATCAAAAATATTACTAATCCTAATTTCTATAATATAAAACAGAAATTTCTATAATATAAAACAGAACGGCTTCATCATCCATTCAAGGGCCACAATCATCCATAATATTATATTTTTTCCCCTAAAATCAACCATTCTCGCCCACAACATTTTTCAAAATTCTGACCCTCTCAGTCACCTCATCTGTCAGACACTCTCCCACCGACACCATGCTATACCCTTTCCCTCTTTCTCTGTTACGTTCCAGCGACGCCACCAGCAACACCACTACCACCGCCACATCGTTTGCGACACCACCACATCGCCAGCTACACAGCCACCACCATCGCCAGTGACACAGCCACCACCACACCCCTCCCAGGTATCCCTCTTCTCTGCTTCTCTCCGGCCCGACCCTCTGCTTCTCTCTCTCCCTCTGCTTCTCTCTCTCCTCTGCTTTCACACACACACAATGCACACACTCACACATAAACTCATCGTCCATACACACACACACAAAATAATTTCAAAATTAGGGCTATTAATTGGTGTAAATTGATGTTGTTAATTTGTAGTTAATAGGGTTGTGGCCCCTCGGGAAATCTCTATGCTTCCCCACAAGTTCATTCTTCGACTTTCTATTACACTAAACGGGTCGCATCTACACCAGAAGATATCCTTTGTAAGTCGTGGATTCGGAGAATTATACCCAATTGCACACACAGGTTTTTGGATTTTGATTTGTTTATGATGGTTTTTTTTGTCCTTTTGATTTCTTTAATGAATATCATTATGTGGTCTGATTTGGTATCATGGTGTTTCTTTAATGAAGCCTTTGTTTTATTAAAGATTCGTCTTTTTCGACAATGGGTAGTCACTTGTTTGATATCCGATGAATCTTTAATGATGCTTTTGCCTTGGTTGAGATTGCTTTGTTTGCTGATGGATAGTTGGTTGTTTGTTGCCTAGAATTTCTGGCTTTCTTGGTTTCTTCTGTTTTGCTCCTATAATTTAGCTGGCCTTCTGTTTTCGTTTTGGGGTCTTTTTCCAACTTTCTTTTGCTCTGAAGTGTGAATTTAAGTCTTTTGGTTCTAGATCTGTTTGATTGTCAAAGAATAAAGGTAGGAGAAGAAAAGAAACTGAAATTAAGCTTCATATTTTCATAACATCCTCTGATCCAAGCTTATTTCAACCATAATACTTGCTTGAGAGATGACTAATAATTTATACATATCTACTTATTGCAATGAAAAACATATGAATTTAAAGAAAAATTTGTTCATTTGACTCTTCTCTTGCACAACTGTCAATGCATATTCACTCCCTTGCCCCATTTAACTTACTAGACGGATGGAGCATGCTGATGTGACTCAAAACTTGAATGCTTCTGTTGTGTCTTTGCATAATATAAAATGTATTCAAACAGCATTTATTTATTATCATTAATTATAAAAAAAAATTGTTGTTGAGATCTAGAGCTTCTTATACCAGTTGCCGACTCCGTTGACGATGACGCCTCTTCTAAACCCTCCTCTTCTGCTTTCTCATCTCATCACTCCGGCCGTGAGGTAACCCTCCTCTCTCTCTCTAAAAGAATTTGATTTGATTTCAGGTAACCCTACACCGTGCTTCATCACTTATATGCAAATTGTTTTGGATCTCATTCTCTCTAATGATTTCATATTTTTTCATTTTTTCTTATGTATTAAATTTGGAATACTGGAATGGCATTTGGGTTGTGGATTTTAATATTTATGGAACAAAAAACCCTATTAATAACTATTACAATGGAGCTTGAGATTGAGATAACGAAAATCACGATGTAACAGATGGAGATTGCCTGTGATTGAGGCCCAATTTGGTAGCTAATGCTACTACAATGGAGATTGAGAGCTTTGATCTGTGATGTGCATCATTCTTAAAGGACATTTGTTTGTTTGCTTTTATTTATAAGTTTTGTTTAGCTTTGATCTGTGTTGTGCATCATTCTTAAGGGAGTAATGGAATCTGAATTCATGGAAGATATGCAAGTGCAGCTCATGAAAAGTTATCATGCTTAGAAACATAAATTAGATAAACTTGATAGTAACATCATGCCTATTTTTGACACTACACCTATCTACATGCATTGATAGTAACATTAATGTTTTATTATGGAACTGATCCACTGACTCTGCTCTCTTTCACTTGTATCTATTCACCAGGAAGCTCATTCTCGCTATAGAAATATAGCCAATATTCCCAGTTGCAAAGTTACTAATGCAGTGGTGGAATGTTTCAAGAATCGGTCTTCAACTGGATTATACAATCACAGAAGCTGCCCAAGAACTGTCTTAAATAGACACCCAAAGGGAATTTCCATCTAGGTATGTCAATTTCTATACATTGTTCCTTAAATTCTGCGTTTTGTGTGAATAGTTGAGCTATTTTTTTTCTGGGTCACTGTTTGCACAGTGCGCTGACGCTATGAGGAACTGGAACTGATTAATTGGGTTTCTACCGACTCATCTAATGCGAAAGTCATGATATGGGCCTCCGCTATCCTTCTCGCAATGTGAAATGTAGCTAAATGTTACCTGTTAGCAGCTTAAGGTGTCTGTAATACTGATCTAAGCTAATCCTTTTTTTATCTGTATAAACCATTTAGACCCTGGATTTTGAACTGTTTATGAATGATGGGCTATGAGTTTAAGAATCATCTTTGAAAGGGAGGCTATGCTATTCAATTATCAATTTCCTTAGTTTATACCTAAAGGGATTGAGATTTAGTTGGGTTTCACTAGGGGGAATGTTTTGTTTTGTTTTGAAACATTGCACCCTTAAGAATAAAAACAAATGAAATATGTCTTTTTTTGTGAAATAACTTTTTTAGGGTATAAGATTCCTAACTTTAATTCGAATAAACACTTGGTAATTTTAACAAGATAAAATGTACAACTAATAAACTTCTCGATAATTACAAACCCATCAAATTAATCGAAAAATATAACATTAGCGTCAATGGTAGACAACAACAAATAAAAATAGCACAAATACATAAATTTAATTATCATACATAATCCCAACAACTATTCTCAACCATACACCAAAAAAAAAAACATAAGTTTGTTTATCATACACAGTATTAAATATTAATTGCATAATATATATATATATATATATAATATAACCCTTTAATATTCTTCTAACAAATTTAGCATTCTCGGCCTCTGGGGCCCAACCCTTCGCAACATAATTTGACCAATCCTCGTAAAAAAAGTTTGTCACCAAACTTTTGCGCTTCCTTATGACTCTTCACGTAAAAAAATACATTGTTTAAAAATAAGAACTTTTCGCACCTTACGTCCCAAAAGATTTAAATTCTTTACTTTGCACCTCTCAAAATTAATTTTTTTATATAACTTTTAATGTATTAAAAATATTAAAATATGGCCCTTCCATTATCTTTTTCGTCAAAAACTAATAAAAAAAATTAACAGAAAACTAATAGAAATATCACATTACAACATTTTTGGTTCATTGAGTTAATCTTTAAGGGTGCAAAAGTAAAAAACTTGAAATTTTTCAAGATATAAAATGCAATTCGCCCTAAAAATAAACATGATCACATTAAACCTGTACCTATATGGTGCATAAGAAATCAACCAAAAAAGCAAAAAATTCTAAAAAATAGCAAAACTAGTCTATACAATCTGATGATGCACAAAATTGGATTTATGACTACCAGTCGAGTAATTAATATATGTAATAAATGCAATAAATATAAAGTTAAGATCAACACAGGAAACACACAAATAAAAAGTGGTTCGGTCAGTGTGATCTACTCCAATTTGAAGGTGGTAACGATGGTTGGAGGACTTTATTGATAAAATAGTAGGTGGTAAAGAAAGGGGGCAGAAGTAAGCTCTAAGTGTGGAGATGTAGCTATGAGAGATGTGATTGTGAAAAAGATGTGTAGAGATATACCTCTCTCATGTGAAGAGAATTTATAATTTACAGATACAAAACCTTGAGACGGTGGTGTGAAGGGTAGGTTACTAACTTTTCGGGGAGGATAGCTATAACTAAAATAGGTACAATTAGATATAGTCTTGATCTTAAAGAACGGCTATCCCAGTAATTACTCCCTACGTGCGCTAATCTTTTTAGATTCCTTGAACTTTGAACTAAGTCAAATTCATGAGCAGAACTTGACCTGTCTTTTATTTAATTTGAACTTATCTCGTTAAATGAACCTGACTCAGTTACATCTAGGCTCATCTCAATCAATTTTTTAATTACATTGGACAACTAATAAAGAAGTTACGCGACACTCTGTAGTGACCACCACCCCCCGTAAAGAAGTCAAAAGCTTCACTCTTTCCCATAATAATTCGGTTTACTTCTCTATTTTTTCAAAAATTATGTTATTCCTCACCATCCATACAAGTTAGAAAATTGCCAAAATTGCACAGCTACATAAAATGGAAGATTTTTCCCGATTTCCAAATCCTTCAAAATACATTACCAAAAGAGAAGCACAATTAATCAGTGTTGCCCACACCAAATCAGCCTCCACCACCAACCTATGCCATAAGAACCAAGCAATGGAACAATGAACGAATAAATGGTCAACACTTTCATAGCTATCCTTGCATTGAACACACCAATCAGGGTCTGTGAAATACATTAAACTTGTGAACTTTAAGAATAGATACCGTGAACATTCCACGCCTGATCAATCCAGATCGAGTTTCAATTGGAAAAGATTTTCTTTTTTTTTAAAACTAAGGATGAATTGATTCTAAAAATGGAACAAAATTTTTAAAATTTTTATTCAATGCAATTATAACTGAACCTAAAAAACTCTATTGGAATAAACGAAATTAGTAAAAAAATCCCTCGATGGTCATACAAATTAATAACTAATTTGGAACAATAGACAGGAGAAAATCAAGAAAATGTGCCAGTGGATCATCAAATTCGCTCAAGAAAAGCCAAACAGGTAATAATTTTTACTAGTAAAAAGCAAAACGTCCACCAACAAGCTTGATGTGAAGGTTAGCATGCTTAATATTCACCCTATCCATAAGTTCAAAGAATTATTTTTTTTTGAACAGCATAAGCTCAAAGATGACTAGTTTATTCTGCTGTAGAATTCTCAACCAGCTTGCTGGCTGTTGCTGAACAGATTCATCAACTTGCCAAATGGAATGAAGAATATGAAGAACCATGCTGATCGGTCTTTTGATGTAGGTGAACTCGAAAACAATGTAAAATAGTACAAAGATCTCCGAAGATGATCAATGTATGATGATTGGCCTCTTCCAGTTTTTATCCCTCCAAGTAAAAGGATCTTTAAGTAATCAGAGTAAACGCAAAGCTTTGGCCAAAGGAAAAATTAGAATATTTGGTGTCACAAACCACAGAATTGAGGAGCAGTGAGCACAAGATATGTTAATCATGAAATGAAACTCTTTGTGAACACTAGCTTCTCCAAGGCAGTTACCAAACTAACTTCTACTCCTTTTTACAGCATCTTGGCTTATGAAGATGTGCTTGGGAAAGAATAGTGAACATGGGAGCCTGTGCAAAAAAGTGCACACTAAAATCGATTGGGGTTCCTTTCAAAGATAGTATAATTAAGTCCTTCAATCTTTTTTGTCGCATAGTTGATTGCAAGTAAATTTTAATTTTGAATCATAAGAAATTTATTTTCGTAAAATCTACTGTTTCAGATATAGTCAATAACAGTAATGTTATGCTGACCAAATTTGGAGTCCAAATGATTTGGCAGCATATTACTTGGAGTCTTTAATGAGGCCTAAATGACATGACACCAAATAAAGAAGTCCAAGTCAGCTGCCATGTCATTTGAGTTTCAAATTTGGTCCCAAAATTTGATCAGCATAGCATTACTCAGTCAATAATATACTATAAAAATAGTTCTAATGTTTCAACTTTTTAGTTTTATATGTAAATTTTTTTAAGACTTTTAGTTTTGATAACAAATCTTATTAATCGATATTGAAAAAATAATCATCTTTCAAAAAAATTTCAAATGTTAGAACAATCGTTTTTGAACTCTTACCATCTAATATTTTTGTTTCTCACACTAAATACAAGCAAAATATCTTGTTGAATTGTAAATTATTCAAATTTACCATGATTTACTATTTATAAAGAATAATGATTCAATAAAAAAACTCTTTCGGTGATTTTTTTTTTTCTGAAAGAAACGGTACAGTTTTTTATCGAAGACAACTATTTGAAAGAATGAGAGGCACTAAGATTTCGGGTGCTCTCTCCTCCTATACATTAATATGGTTAACAAAACTTGCATTTCTTGCAAATTTATATGCGACAGTATTCGCAGATTGATATACAGTAGAAACAATAAAACTATGAAAATCTTGAGATATCATATAAACTTGATAAATAATCTTTAGGTGATTGCGTAACAAATAATTGAAGCAACAGAGAGGGAAAAGATATGCTAGTAAATTTTTTCTCTAATAGCATTACTCAATTACTTGATAAACTAAGACCTGTAATATAGTTGATAGATGTTGAGAAAGAGTTATCCATAGTCCATAATTGTGTATAGTAGTGAGGTAATGTGTAAACGTAGGGATGAAGCATGGATTAGTATAAGACTTAGAAACAAAAAATAGTGCGTAGAATAAAAGATACATATTCACCATAATATTTCTTGTACGAAATTAGAGGACCTAGTGCATTAAATTTGTTGGAGTAATAGCAAACGTCATACAATATTGAGACATAGTTATTGTCTGTACCTGAAGGTACAAAGTAATAAAAAATGGTAAATAATAAACATATTTGTATTTATATCCAAAATTAAATTACAAACATAGAGAAAAGATAAATAAATTTAAATATCGATTTGTAGTGGGAGTGAGAGGTGGTGGGCGGCAGTGGTGGTGGTAAGAGACGGTGTTGGTTGTGATGGGTGGCAAGGACCGTGGTGGCGACGATGGTGGTGTTGGTGGCGGCGACGACGATAGTGACTGCGGTGGCGGCAGTGGTGGTGGCAGCGACGACAGGTGGTGTTGGTGATGGCGGCAGCGAGGGTGACCGCGGCAATAGTAGTGGTAGTGGTGGTGGTGGTGGTGGTAGTGGCAGTGGTAGAGGTGATGGTGGTGGTAGAGGTAGTGGTAGGGCGTTTTCAAACACTTTTTTTTTTTAAGTATTTATGAGAAATAATTTTTAAAAGTACTTTTAAAAATTCACTCTAAATACACCCTTAGTGATCCATTTTTCCTATTAAATTTAGAGTATTAATATTAGCCGTTAGATTAATTTTAAAGTAAAATTTAAAATGATCTCAACCGCAAATAGCAAAAATCATTTTGTTTATCTTTTGAGATTTGAATTGTAAACTAATTTATTATATAGATATTGTTAACTCAATTATGGTGGTACATAAAGCTTTGTACTATCTTATTTTTCTCTCCTTTAATTTTGTCTCAACTTGGTTATTTTGAACCCCTAGTTCTCTTCATCCACTACCACATAAAATTAATCAAATTAGGAAGGAGAGGACTTGAAAAACGTTTCCACTCTATTTGCTAACTCTTTCAAAACTTTACTTAT